AGATAGATAGATAGATAGATAGATAGATAGATAGATAGATAGATAGATAGATAGATAGATAGATAGATATAGGGATGCAGTGGTGCAGCAGCTTAATGACGCTGAAAGTTGCTGGCCAGAAATGGTTGACGCTTCAGCAGTTCGAGTCCAGCCTTCACGTTAGCAGGGTGAGCTCCTGTTTCCTCCCCGGTTCCTGCAAACCCACGTGAAGTAGATAAAATGGGTACTCTCACTCCGGTGGGAGGAAAAATGCTGGCGGTGCCTTGCAAAAAGGAGTCGGGAGCAGTTGCCAGTAAGCGCGAAAAACCGCACACGCCCGAAAAGGGCGCAAAGCAACGGAAACCTCGCCTCCTGCGCTCGCCAGCTGGGCTCTGCTCTTGGAAGGAGGCACTGGCAAACCACTTCCGAAACACCTTGTCTTGAAAACTGCAAAGGACTCGTCCAAGCAGTTACTGCAGAGTCGGTAACGACTGAGCACAGATAAATATATATATATATCGTTACCGACTCTGCAGTGACTGCTTCCCTACATATATATATATAAATATGTATATATGACTGATTCCCTACATATATATATATGTAGGGTAACCAAAATGGTGCCTGGGACCAACTGGCATAGTGTCATTTTCACAACTAGGTAAGTATGTCAAGAGGCACCTCTGTTCAGATATTACTTTCATAAACCCCATTCTGTTGCTGACAGAAGTGAAGAAACGATTTATTTCAGGCTTGATTGAACAGAGACTTGAGCTGACCTGACTTTTCAGTATTTGTCTGTTTAAAAGAAAGATTAAAATAATTTCCTATAGCAAATAATTTGCCAGGTGCTAGATTCTAACATCTAGCCAAGATCCCAGAGAACTTGTGTGGAGTTATTTAGAACCACAGCTAAAATATTTGGCACCTGAAGGCTTTGCAGGAACAGCATGATCTCTGGACCCCTGGATGTCTTTCCTCAATTCTAGGTGTAGATCTTTTATTCTACTCTTCAGGAGCAGCTATCTTGAGAGAATTTAGCCTTAAATGTGGATCTCAAAGTGCAGTAAGGTTCATATGGGAAAAGGTAGCTGCTTATTTATTTATTCATTCATTTATTTATTTATTTATTTATTAAATTTGTCCCTGCCCATCTCCCCCAGTGGGGGACTCTGAGTGGCTCACAATTCATTAAAAACAATAAACAAATATACAATTAAAAGCCTATATACACAATTGCAAAAAATAAAGGAAAAAGTCCAGGAGGCTGATGGTTCAAGGCAGCAACACCC